TGGGTTTTGGTGAGGTTGTTTTGTTTTGCTTGTGATATGGGTTTTGGTGAGGTCGATTTGTTTTGCTTGTGATATGGGTTTTGGTGAGGTTGAAGTGTTAGGCGGGTCGAGAAATGGGTTAAAAGTGTAGGGGGGGTATAGGATGTGAGGTGTGGGGGAAGCGGTTCTTTTGTTTTTTGTTTTGCTTTGGTGTTTGTGTTGAGTTGGGATGTGCTTTGTGTTTCGGCGTTTTGGAAGGTTGAGGTGCGGGGAAGGAAGTTGCTTTGTTTTTGTTTGTGTTTTGGGGTTGGTGTTGAGTTGGGATGTGCTTTGTGTTTTTGCTTGTGTTATGGGTTTTGGGAGGTGCTTTGTGTTTCGGGTTTGGGAAGGTTGCTTTTGGGAGGCGGTTTGAGAATTGAGGTGAAAGCGTAGGGGGGGGGGTATAGGATGTGAGGTGTGGGGTATGCCTATGCTTGCTGCTACAGCCTCAAAGGTGTCTTGGCTTGGCGCCAGTTCGCTTCTTCAGGTGGTCTGAAACCGAAGGAAGCCCGTTCCAAAGAAGCATTGCCGACGTTGTTGCGCTTATACGAAGTGTTTGTTGGCGAACTTGGATGCCAAAAAGCCGGGGAGCGCAACACCTTGCCCAGCTTCCGTTACCTGGGAAGGTGGCAATGGTCTCTTCTCCGACATACTAGCATCCGCGTCGGCTCCTGATGCTGAGAATGGAGGGGCAACATATCACAGTCTCATGTTCATGCAAGCTCGCAATGCTTGGCTCCTGAAGGCTGTCTACCGAGCAAGTTGAGAACCAGATCATGCAGATCGTGGTGCAGCCCGCGCCTCTCGTTGCTTCAATTGTGGAGCGACTACAGCTGCACATATTCGAGGCACTGCCCTCCCGGCGAGTGCCCATTGGCCGGGATCCCGGCAGTAAGCCCAAGTATTCCCAGTGCAGCACCCTGCGCGCGCAGGTTGGATACTCGGTTCAATGTGACCGAGAAGTGATCAAGGACAAGATGCCCAGGCAAGCCGAGTCCACCGGGATCCACCGCGGAGTCTAGTTCTCTTAGTTCTCTTGCGAGGGCAAGAAGAGACCTGTAGAGGCAAGGCCTGGCTTGCATCCTACAGCCCGGGCCAGGCTGTACCGCCACCTGAGCCACCAGATCGTGGATGCCGGGCCCCGCGGTCTTGTTGCAGCTCTGGCTCCCCGAGCTTGCATCCTGGGCAGGTTTCCAGTTTCTTCATCGTTTCTCGCCTCTGGCTCCCCGAGCACTGGCAATATTGGGTGCCGGTCTCGGGCATGTTTGACCTTTGTTGAGAAACAGGTCCGTGCCTTGGGCCGAGGACCGGAAGTCCAGCACCTACAATCACAGAGCTGTGAACGACGTGGAAGATGCGATCGAAGCTCTAAGTGCCTTGCTTGCTTTGTGGATCTAAGCCCATTCCACCCCAAGGTGCATGCTGGAATAGGCGTCCAAGTCCGCCTAGCTGAGGATGGGTGCGGGAGAAGTTCTTTTCCGAGAGCCTGCTTCCGTTTGGAGCAGCGAAAGAGCTCGCGCCTCGAGCCGGTTGGAGCCGCTCGGAGCTCTTTTGGTTCTGTGGACTCTTCGGCTCTTCGTCGGCCGAGGACTCTTCCAACGGCGGCTTCTCTTCTCTGATGCCGGGCAGTGCGCTAACGATCTGAGTCTGACACTGTTGTGTCTCTCCCTGTCATTGTATATAATATGTCTTTGTAGCACTAGCGCTACAGTGGCCACATTAGCTGCCCGCAGTTCCATTGCGGCCACCGTGGATTTAAAAAGACGTGCGAAAGCCACAGGATTTTTCTTCACGATGGTTTGGCATGTGAGCTGCTGCTCCTATACTACTACCACCTTACCCTAATGCTAATAATCATACTCCTGCTAAAACGCCTTGAGCCTTAAGCCGACAATCTATTCGGTTTTAGTTGTGAAACCTCGTCAGTCCCTAGGCTTCAAAGCTCTTTGTGCAGCCGCGGAAGACCATGGCCTTCCTTCAAACGTCAGCCCAAGCCGAACGACCCATGCAACCTCGCCACGGTGCAAGGATGTACGAGGGCTCCGTGTCAACTGGCAGACATTCGCCCACTAGCTCGGCGTTCGAGAGGCAATGACCAATGACCGGCATGTTCGTTACTTTCGACTCTCCACGTCATATGGTCCTCAAGCCAGCCCAAAAAACGCCTCCGCTTCGCGAGCTCCCCATCGCCTTAGCTAGACGTCCAGCAAACGGGCACTTGAAATACTCGGGATGGTGGCAAAGAGCCGATTGCGAATCATGCTCGCTGCTATCCGCTGCTTCATGGCAATACTTGGCTCCGAACACTCTCCAGTACTCCCCATCTGCGACCAGAATGTGTTCCTTGCCTTGGGAATCGCTGTCTGAAGCTCGTTGCTTCGTGAAACGCTGTCAGGTCCGAGACTTTTCTGCCGAAGGCGCAGCACGACTGTCAACGGGCAGGGTGTCAAAATGCCAACCGATCGGGTTTCTGACGAATCCGAACGTCAGTCAACTCCCACCACACACCTCATTTGTGTTTCCGGTCGACGGAACTGTTGCTCCCTTGATTGCCACCCATCGCAGGTGTCATGACGACTCTTTTGGCAATGCTGCCAGTGTTTGTCACGCTGTGTCGGCGCGGCACCCTCGCTAGATCTCGTTTATTAGCACTTCCGGGTCAAGCGTTGTACGGGCCTTCAGCGTGAAAATTTCTGGTTGTTGGGCATGTCACGTGCCCGCGGTACACTGATAGCTTCCATTTCTTGCATGCTTTGCGCCCGCACCGTTTCGCAACAGCACGAGATGCCTTCGGCGACCACCACGCAGTATGCGCCGGCACCTCCGGCGTCCAGTCTGCGCGCGCACCACCCTTTGAACGAGCGTGTATGCCGTGAGGCGAGGGTTGCTCGTCAATCCGCCTTACCGACATGAACCTCGATGTGCCAATCGCCATCAATCGCCGATGAGCAGCGCATGGAGGTTGTCGCTAACGGGCCTGCCGGTCTAGAACGCCAACTCACAGTCGATGCGACATTGGTTTTTGCACACATGCAACTTTTGCACCTGCATGGCCTGGGTTCCTGCTGTATGCTGTGCGCACAACACCCCTATACGGGCCGCGAAGCGGCAGGCGGCTCCGCCCTGCCGCATCAGCTAGGCCAGGCACCCGGTCCAGCCACGGAGCCGACAGTTGGCTCGCGTGGAGCGGCGCCGGCCAAGCTGACCCGAGTAGTGCTTGTGACGGCCTGTTGTACCGACGCTGCCAGTATGAGCCAGTATGACCCACCAACGCTTGGCCTATGCCGTCGACACGTTGGCTTACGCCCCTCACACGTCAACACGAGGCACATCGCACGCCGACGTTCAGCCGGGCTGCGCCGTAAACCAATTTGCAGCGCGCCATGGCGCCGCAAACGCCGAAACACACTCCCTGAGCTTGGCCACGCCCGGCGCTGCCGCCTGGTAGTCGTAGGGATTGAGGTCCGCTGCAGGTTTGGCAATGAAACCTTGCAGCTCCTGCGCGTTCTGGCATGCCACCGTGAAGCTGCCGTTTCGGCCTCCGGGCAGTCACTGCCCAGCGCGCGTTTGCGGCCTCCCCTGAAGCTCCGCCCCGCGTCTCAGCTCGACCAGAACCCAAGCTGCATAAATTCCTTGCCATCGCGGGCTGGGACTCTGTCAAGTCCTGCGCTGCACGGTGGTCCGCAGTTGCACAGGGACACTCGTCGGGGACACGCGAGTGGAGCAAGGTGCGTGGAAAGAATATACGGTTCGTGGAGACTGGCGTATGCTGGCATAGGCAAACAGGTGTGGTGGCCTTCACGAGCCGAGGTGGGGGTTTGCCCAAACGCAATCTGGATGCACACATACGGCCACATCGGTTCTCGGCGCCGTGAAGGGGCAGCAAGGCTGCAAAGACAAGAAATTCGGCCACGGCACTCCAACGTCCTGCGACCTCGATGGCAAGCACGATGGCACGGCGAGGCTTTGGCGATCGGCCAGTGTCCTACCCAGACAGGCTTTCCCGGCTGGATTCCAGATGCGAGTCTTGCCTTCGTGCAAACGGAGCCGGACCGCTAGCGCCACCAAGGAGCATCTCCGCATCCTCCTGGACGATGAGGAGGATGCCCCTCCGTTGGCACAGACCCTATGTTGCAAAATAATTATTTGTTCGGGGGTGGATTGCAGACTTTTTGCGGGTGATTGCAGATTTTTTGCAGGTTGCAGTGGTCGGGCCTTGGTGGGAGCGCCGGGGGTCTCGGGCCCCCCACCCCTGCCCGACCACTGCAATGCAAAAAATCTGCAGAACACACGGTGTTTAGCAGATGTTTTGCAGATCGGGGCCCGTCACCCAGGCCCGACCGCTGCAATCTGCAAAAAATCTTGCAATCTGCAAAAAGAATTTGCAAAAAATCTGCAAAAGTTCTGCTAAAATAGTCATTTGAGTGGGGCACATAAGCTTTCCCAGGAGCAGATTGTCATAACCTTGGTTTGCGTGCAGAACTCCCCCCGGCCTTGCTTGAAGGACTCCGGCGGGCGGTTGGTAGCGTTCCGAAAACCCAACGGAGCACTCGTTGTCAGTGACGTCTTCCGCCGGCTGGTTGGTCGTGTGCTCGCTAAGCACGCTGCCTCGGAATTTCGAGAGCGCAGAACTGCGAGCTCAATCCGCTCCTCCCCTTCGCTGGGCAGTTTTACTCGTCAGGGCGAAGGCGGCGGATGGCATCTACATCGTCGCCCCGCATGAGAGGATTCGTGACTTAAGCGCTGCCCTCAGCGTCGCTCTGTGGGACCGACCGAAGTCGAGCCGCGTCGGGCAGCACGCAACCTTGTCATACCTTGACGCTGGTAGAATCAACCCACCGGGGGGGGGGGGGGGGTTCGGCGCAGCTGTTGTGACGGTGCGGCTGCCTCGCAGGAGATCGACCCCGTCAAGGAGGTCGCAGCGTCGGTTGAGCGCCTCAGGGCGCGCTCGGGTTTTGCCACGAGCGCGGAACAGCAACTTGTGCGGAGCCAGGCAAAACTGCGGACGCTGCTGCATGATCTCCTGGTTGGTCGGCTTCAATAATAAAATTAAGAATTCATTTGCGTAAGAACCTGCATTTGGTAAAGGGCTGCTTTTTCGAAAACCGATTCCGAAGCATTCCGAACCGGGAAACAGCAATCGCGTAACAGAGACAGCCCCTTTTCGGCAAGACGTGGCAGGGAAACACCAACAATGTGATCAGCATGTGCATGGGCAGCAGCATTGGTTGAGGAGATGCAGGCCTTCTAGCCTTCTAGCTATTTCATCAGGTTAGCTGACCTAGGCGCTCAGCTCAGAGCCCATCGCAAAGAGTCGCTCGACACGCGCCCGATTCCCTTGTTGTCCTCCAACAAGCTGCAACGTTGTCGTACAATTTTGTTCCTCTCCAACATCACGGTTCTCTGTAAACCCCTGGTCCTCCAATACCTCGCAAGGTTTTTTGTAAACCCTTGTCACCCTCCAAAAATCCAAGTTTGTTGGTCAAACATCAGCAAACGCCAGGTTTTTCACAAACCCCGTGTCGTCCACCAACACGAGAAAAAAACACACACACATGTTTTTTGCAAAGCCTTCTTCTCGGCGAACATCCACAAAAAACAATTTTTCTGGTAAACCAGTGTGGTCCCCCAACAACAAAATGCAAGGTTTCGTGGCAAACCTGCAACATCCTGCAACATGCCATTTTCCAAAAACACGTGCATGTAATGTTTTCCCGCAAGACCAGAATTTGCCACACCGCAACCAAACTTGCAGGCCCTTCGCCAACGATTTGCCAGAGTCTCGTGAGCGAGCTGATGTGCTCCCGCTGCCAGGCCCAGCTTCATGAGGTTATGACCGCGATCCTGGACTTCATCATCATTAACGAAGAAAATTATCCAGGCTAAGACTCGTCCATCTGTTGGTCTACGACTAGTGGACCAAAATTGGCACAGCCCTGTCCACAGATTTCTCGAGCGCCGTCGCGCCTACGCTGACTTAGCCGTGACGGCCCAAGCCCAGCTTCGGTTCGCTCCCGTGGTCTTCGTCACCCCGTCGCCACATCATGCAGAGTTAGAAGTTTTCGTGTATTCGCATGAAGCTGGGTGTACCCGGATAGAAAATGAACGCTCCTTCGGATCCGACCCCTAGCCCCCTCGGAAAACGGTAGTGCCTCGTTGCACTGCGCAAACCAGCCGGAGGCGTGCGTGGACTCGTTGTCGGGGACTTACTTCGGCGTTCGGTTGCCCGCACGCTTGCCCAGCAATACAGCCGCCACATTGATGAAGCCACCCGCCCCCACCAGTTCGCCTTGTCCACGCGTGAAGGGGCTGAGGCTCTCGCCCACAGCCTCCAACTCGAGACCGATACTGACCCCAGCTGCACTGTCCTTTCCGTTGATGGCATTGGTACATTCGAAATCGTGAGCCGCCACGCCATGCTCTCCGAGCTCCCTAAGGCCTCCGCCATGCTCCCCTTCGTCCGCCTGTTCTATGGCGCGCCGTCTTCTTTTGTGTGGACACCTCGTGTCTCAGGGTGAAGGTGGCGAGCAGGGCGACCCGCTCATGCCCGCCTTGTTCGCGCTTGCACTTGCGCCGGCGCCCCGCTCCTTCCAAGAAGAGCTCCATCCCGGAGAGCACG